GAGAGAGCCTCAGTAGGGAAGGGAGGAAGACGATATTGTTTGGTGACTAGTGGTAGTAGATAATAACTCAACAGACCGATTAGGTATCGATGTAGCAATTGCTACCGATTTCGAGTTGGTTGATCAATCGATTTATCATTTTGATTTTTTAAGTTAACCGACGATCTGTTAAACAACCCTTCTAATGGTGCTCAAAGATCACATCAAAAGCCTCTACCTCTATTTACCAGCCATAAAAATACATTCTGAAAGAGAATTAAAAATATCTATACACAAATTTCAACTAATAAGATGAAAACGCTTGTGCATGTTACCTTTGTTTTTTTCTTACAAAAACCATGATACCATTGCTTTCCAATTGCATGGTGGTAAGACTATAGAGGAAAGAAAGGAAACAAAAAGGCTACAAATTAAAGGCATTCAACCATTTCTGAAGATAAGATTGGTTAAAGGTGGAATATATAATTTAGCCATCTAAGGAAGCAATGACAATAAGGTGGAATATGTGTAACTACTTTGGTTCCCCTTTAAGGGAAACTTCTAGGATGGATCAGGTTTGAGAGATGACCTTCAAGTGTAGATGCAATTTCACTTGCCCAACTACCCAATTAAAGCTATTCTTATTATTCCTTTGTAAATGTTGTCTAAGGGGAGATGATCTCAAAATATATATTCACATAAGAATTTTGAACAACAGGTGTGATCCATGGCAGTTGATAAGTCCAAAAGGACTAGAACCCACCAATCAATTAAATACACCTAATTATTAGAAACCCCAGTATAATAAACTAATGATGATTGATAAATAGGAATGGAGATTCCCAACTTGGGTTTTTCTTCTATAATAACTAATCTGCACCTGTTCATAATTTAATTTAGTCATTAATTTTTTAATTATTTTAAAATGTATTATGAAATGATTAAGAAGATATTGGGATATGCCTTCTTTGCTAATTGGGAAATGTCTTCTTTGTTTATGTGATATACCTACACATTCAATTTGGTTTCATTAGATTTTGTTTTTCTGTCGTTTCTGTCTTTATTTCTTGTTGTTGCTGTTATATTTAACGAAATATCATACCCTTTGTAGCGTTCACTTATTTGATTCTATAATATAATGAAACTCATTTTCATCTAGAAAAAAGTGTACCACAACGACCGAAGTGTGATTGAAGATTACAGAGAAAACTAAAATTGCAAGAAAAATATAAATAAATACAGATTAATTACAATTTCTTGGTTCGATCTTATATAATTATCTTCATAAATTAATAGTATATAGAAATCTAGGTCGAGTTGCCAAATTGAGAATGCAATACTCTCCAAACCAAATCTTAGGCGCATATGGCTTGATGTGCTAACTAATGGTGGTTAATCAATAATCATGTGATGATGAGAAAGAAGATCCTAGCTAGCTATAGAGATCGAGGACTACTTGCCCTCGATCGATCTTTCATGCTAGCTGACTCGACGACACCATATATAGTGGAAGAACCTCACATAATGTTGGAGGGATTACATGAAGATGCAACTATAGATTGTTAGTTTATTATAATGGCTCTCAAATTCTTTGTAACTACCGATTGCTAGTTACGAACAAGGGTTTGGTCTAGCTCAATCATGCTTGTAAGTTGTACGATCATATGTTAAGATTCTAAAGTATGCATATGATTCTTCATAGTTTGGTGCTCTATTCATGACTGTAATTAACATTTGAGAAATGAGTACCTCGATGTTTGCTTATAGTTTTATGAAGGGTTTGAAAACAAAGGTCACTAAACTTGAGAAATTAGGAACACCGAGCACAAAACTCGGTTCTACGACTACTAAATCGTTAAATTGAATGCATTAAGATACATAGGTACTCCTTCCACTCTTATATCCAGATATAGGGAAAAAGACCCCACTACTTTTAGTTACCTTTTGTCCTCTAAAATTTGAAACTAATCATTTTAGGCCATAATCACCATAAGATTTAGCACAACTCAACCTGCAAAGAATCAAAATTCAATGCAGTGTGTCTGATATAGTCGATTATAATCATGGCCTTGGTCGTCAACCCTTTTGTGAAGTGCCTTGGGGCCATGTGAGTTTTCAAAACAAATCAGAACTTTCTTCATCTTCTCCCGACACTAGGAGAAAGAATCGTTATAGATAAAAACGTCCATGAATACTTCCACCACTTTTTTGGGCAAATCATCAAAGGTTGTTGGTAATGTAGCAGATGCATTGTACATGCCAAATGAAATTTGGCGATAAGTAAACGTGTCATACGAGTACCTGAAAGTAGTCTTCACTTGATCTACTAGAATGCATTGCAATAGCTCTGAATTCCACTCCATCTTTCCTAGAATAGACTCATAGTGAATCACATTCACATCTAAATTGGATCTCTGGGAAATGAATAGTTTAGTGGGGCAGATTGTACTTACAAATTTCACGTGCAATCCCGCGAGTACACTTTGTCTCTCTTCTCTTTCTTTGCTTGTCAATTTGCCGTAATTATTGGCTCCTGTAAGTTATTTGACTTATTTCCCTAGCTCCTTGTTGGTTGGATCTTTTTGATAAAGGGATCACTTACATTGCTCAACTAATAAAATCGGTTACAAAGAGGGGAAACAACATGAGAAAACAAATCAAGAAAGAACAGCCTCAACATCTAGAGGAACACACAAACCAACAAGGAGAAGATCAGAACAAGAGAAAGCCAAGCATGATCCAACTAGACAAGGGAATTCTATTCTTGAACCGCAAACCAAAGCATCTGAATCACTCTTTGCAACCTCATTTATCAGAAAAACTCAAAGGAAAGCTTCAGCTCATCCAATACAGCAATGACCATGATGATTGAACATTGCAACACCATATGCCGCCTCCTGGGAGTTGTTCGAAGACGACCCATCACAGTGAATCACCAAGGAGATTACATGGCGGTGGGCAGCACTATACAGGATTGTTCAGAGCTGAAACAAAGAGAGGGAACCGGCAGCGGAAGCATCCATGACAAACCAGAGAGCAGGGAACACAAAGGGTTGAAATGCCCACAAAAACCACAAGAAAGAAGACCCACCAGCATGAGCCTCACCTGCAGAAACACAAAGCCAAAAAGAGTTCCAAGAACAGGAACACCAACAAGCAGCACAACCCAATCCATCAACAACAACCCACACCCACCCTGCAAATAAACCCAAATGAAGAACTCTGATCTCATAGAAACATGGACCATCCGCCACGACAATCGGAAGAAACACCGCTACCCACACTGACGATTGGCAAAGATGCAGAGATCAAGCAAGGAGCACAACGGCAGAGGTGCAACAGTGAACGTGATCGCCCACGGGGACGACCACACCAAGAAGGAGGAAATCTTCAAAACCGAACTAGCAGAAGCACCCCCAAATTGCATCTTCCATACCCAAAACAGAGGAACAGATCTAGAAAACTAGATCTGAACAAGACACAACATCTCCACCAGGGAGGAATGTGGGAGGAACCACTTAGGAACCGAGATAAAGCCGCCAAGGGCTGGAAGAGCCATCGAGGGCTGGAAAATCAGAAAGGATCTGCAAAAGCCGAGAAGGGCAAAGGAAACAGGAAAAGCCAGCACTGATCGGAGAGCAAGGAAACCACAAAGGAAATCCGGCGAGCAAGAGAAAGGAAGAAAAAAGAGAGAATTTGGGTCACCGCCGGTCACCAGAGTGGTGTCGGCGGCAGCCCTGTGAAGAAGATGATGGAAAGCTAGAGAGAAGGTGGAGGTTTTGAAAAAGGAGAGAGAAGGGCAATAAGTTGATCACTCTCAGAGCATGTCGTTCAGATCCATTATTTACTTTTTTGGTCTTTGCACATTCCAATCTTATTAGTGACCAGGCTTAGATCCATATTTAAAATATGCTCATCATTTACATTTCAGTCAACTTGTGTGTATTTGGTCAAACTCATGTGGTTTGGAATATTTTATTGTGAATTATGTAATATGAGTATGCGTATATTATTGTGCATTTTTACTTTTCTGGTGAGTTTTAGTATTTGTGTCTTCAAATCAGGCTCTCTCATAGGAAATATCTTTGCTTACGGATTATCGTTTTTTTCTGGAGTTTTCCTTGTAACTGAGTCGCGTCTTTGTCCCATGCACTCTGGGCTTACCTTGGAAAAAAATTAGGATTAAAGACACGCATTCTTTATATCTTCCAAACAATGTATATTGTTAAAACGTAAAAAACATGCATTCTTACTATACACATAATCTTACTGCATACATTCTCAGAGTACCATTTACGGGATCAAGAATTCCAAACAACCCCTATATATGAACAATAGGGTATGACGAAGTTTTAGGTAATTACAGAAGATAACACTCCACTTATCATATTGAAGAATTTATTTTATGAACAAGTATATTTAACTAAAAAATATAAAATATAATTTTACCTCTCAAGTTTATTGTCATTTCACATTTTCATTTGGCATCAAGAAAAGAGGGCATGACTGATTATGACCAAAGTATTATATGAGGTATTAGTACATAATTTTGTGCATCAAAGGAGGGAGAAATCACCTAGCTAGCTAGTAGGGGTATATAGGTTTTCCTTTTTTGTGGGTTTGCATAATGTTTTCTTTGCAAGAACATAATCAGCCATTGGAAGGAAGACTGATATAATAAACTAATTAAAGAGAGGTTAGCCACTATAAAAACTGTTGAGTGTGAAATTGATGGCCATAGCCCCTATAGATGTGGACATATATGAATTTCAATAACACAAAAGAAGAATAAAAATAAAAAGAACTCATTAAATAGAAAAACAAATAAAATTGATGGTGGTGTGTTTGGAAATGGAACTTATTAATCAATGGTGAAGAGAAGGAGAGGAAGATAGGTGCAGCCCCTAAATTAAAAAAAAAAAAAATAATAAAGGGGGCCAAATAGTTCACTTCTTCACATATATAAAGGGCCCAGATTGGCACCACTACTAGCTACTTCTCATTCCTTTCCTTTCCTTTCCCAATCCCATACCTTCACTTCTTTTTCTTCCAACTCAAAGCCAACTTCCCAACAATACCCTTTTCTTAAGAAACCCATACAAAGAAACAGCAACATCAGAATTGCACTTTCCTCTCCCTTTGTCATGGAAAACCAACAACAGCAGCCTGCCATGAGATCAAGGTTCAGGCGCGTCTGTGTGTTCTGTGGCAGCAGCGCCGGCAAGAACCCAAGCTACCAGCTCGCCGCTCTTCAGTTAGCCAAAGAACTGGTACGGAAAAAAAAAAGTCAGATCGGTTTCGATCTCACGTAAATTCGTGATTTTCATTACTTTGTAACATGAAGGGTAAAGTGTTAGGTCTTTGTCTTTCCTTCTATTCATCTTTCAAACCATGAGGGTTAAATTCCATTTCCGTTTTAATAGGAAACACGAACTTCCTTCGATTGAGAGCTAAAATATGTCAATTCTTTATTCTTGTATGGTCTTTCTTATAGTCTTCTAATCTAGCGATGAGGTGCCAACGAAAATGTTTAATTTACGCGGCAAGATTATAATTGTGATCCAGATCGAGCCTCGAATGGTGCAAATTTGGCTGATGTAATATGATATATATGTTGCAGGTTGAGAGGGAGATTGACTTGGTTTATGGAGGAGGAAGCATTGGGCTCATGGGCCTCGTCTCTCAAGCCGTCCATGAAGGTGGCCGCCACGTTCTGGGGTAATTGACTGAACCTCAAAACCATTACACATTCTTTCTGACTCTAGAGAAAATTGTCATTTTCGTCCCTAAATTTCTCGAAATCAACGATATGGTGGATGAGTTTCTGAAAAACCCTACTCTTGAGCCCCTCAATTAACCTAGGTTAAGGTTTGGAAAGTAGATCTCCAAGAGTTTAAGGATTTAATTACCAATTTTTCCTTTTGTTTTTTCCACTTAATTACGAGCTTTCTAAACTAATAACCTTTTATTCTCTTTGCTCCCTTCTGTTCCCCCAGGGTGATTCCCAAGACTCTTATGCCTAGAGAGGTAATTAATTAATTAACGCGTTTATTTAAATAGACTTTCGTACTCCATAAGTTACCTAACAGATTTCACTTTCATCGCTGATCTTTTTTTTCTTCTAGATTACTGGAGAACCCGTCGGAGATGTCAAACCAGTATCAGGGATGCACCAACGCAAAGCCGAAATGGCTCGCCAAGCCGACGCATTCATCGCCCTTCCAGGTGGATACGGGACTCTCGAAGAGCTCCTGGAAGTCATCACCTGGGCTCAACTCGGGATCCACGACAAACCCGTGAGCGCACAAACCTCAAAAAAATTTTCTGATCGATCTTGTTTGCTACACATAGCATTCTATCTCCCCGGATTTGAAAAATGACTTCGTGTTCCTTTAGGTGGGTTTGTTGAACGTCGATGGATACTACAACTCATTACTATCGTTCATCGACAAGGCCGTGGACGAAGGGTTCGTTGCCCCGGCTGCCCGTCACATTATCATCTCTGCCCAAAATGCCCATGACCTCATGGTCAAGCTCGAGGTACTTACTATAACTTACTACATGTGGTAAATAAGAAGGTGAAAAATCATTGTATGGCGTGGTAAAAAGCAATCCAATGAAACCCCATTTTATTTATTAAAATTTTCTTCATTTGATAATTTCTAATCTGCAGGAATATGAAGCGCAGCATTGTGGTGTAGCATCGAAGTTGAACTGGGAGATGGAGCAGCAATTGGGTTACACAATCAAGTCAGACATAGCCCGTTGACTTACTGGAGAAGAATTTTACATCCTTATAAAATGTAGTTTGTCTGTTTACGAGTATTTTTTTACTGTAGTATCTAATTGTAATTTACCAATTTGTTGATAGTTTAGGGCACCTTTTCAACGTGGTAATTTCTATGCTAGGGTTTGTTTGCGTTTTTACCCTTATTGGTTATTTCTCTATTGGCCACTTGTAGGTGATGATTACTATTATTTGCCATTTGGGGCTTGAACAAGTTTTGTAACTTTTGTAATTGGTAATACAAATATATGAATAAGATTTTCGACCGTGATTAAGCAAAATGTTAATGCTTGGATCTATTTTTTAATATATTTTTAATTATTGGCTAGGGTTGGTTACAGATTGCTTTCAGTGCAAAGGGGGATTGATGGGGATGTTTTCATGTTTGCATTGCATGTATGCCTAAAATGAGCAAACAGTTGTTGTTCATTTCGATCGACTGTTGCTTTGGTCTGCATATCAATTACCATGTTCAGTTATGGAATTCCTTGTTTCTTATCTAATGAAGGTAATGAGCTTATCAATTTTCCGACTTTAATCGACGCTTATCGGTTTTACTTAGCGGTTCAAAATCGAGAAGCTCTTAATAGTTTCGATTTCGAATTTGATTATATCGAAAATCATTAATAAACCGATAACTACATGAAAAGCCTTGAGGCAATCAAACCGCAGTAACGAATGATACGATGTCTGAAATTCATGGGAAAAAATGCTTATTGTTGGGACTTATACGTCTATATGGATTGGTATTCTTGATTTTGATAGATGTTTTAATCTGGTCTCGAGGAGATTAGTGGGAAGCGGTGTTTATGAGTCTCCTCCTTTTATTCTGACCGAAACCGAATCCACTGAAAGCTTATCGATTTTGATTTTCTGACAATTGACTACTTTGAGTTTTTATTTGTAATGATTTTTTCTTCAATGAATCAAACCAAACTGAACCAAACAACTCACTATTTCATCAATGTAGCAATATGAGCCTTAATATGGACATCAAAATTGAGTTCTAAGGATGCAAATTGATGAATGTTGGGAGGTGGATAAGACTACACACCACAACCCTTCATACATGTCCCCTGCCTTAGGGGTGGCTATTTGGACAGGACCGGATTAAAAACCGGAAACCGGACCGTATAACCCGGACCGAGAACGGACCGGGACCGGATAGTAAACAATCCAATCCAATCTTTGGGCTTAGATTTGAGGTAAAAAACCGGATAAAGACCGGATAAGAGAACTCAACCCAAAACTTAAGGGTAATTTGCATAAACGGTCACAAACCTTTGCACTTAGTACAAAACTTAACCAACTCCTCACCCTTTAAGGCCTTAGGCCACTCAAATCCCACAATGTCAATGTAAAATCAAGACCGAATTGGGACCGGACCGGATCAAAACCGGACCGGATCAAGACTGGACTGTATCCAATCCAATCTTCGGTCCTTATATTTTCAAAAAGACCGGACTGGACCGGATCAATTTGGGCCAATTTAACCGGACCGGACCGTATATCCACCGCCTGCCTCCCCACCCTTCATCTCTTTCAACTCAAATGTCAGAGGCAGAGCCCATCAACTCACTACTGATTTTCACCCATTTGGCCCAAATGGACACTTGCCCTAATGAGCTCAGAATATTCACTATCGAGGGACTGATGAACCATCTGTTCCAAGGCAGAGAAGGCCACACATGTCCTTTGCTAGAGAATGACGTCCTCCCAAACTTACCCTTACTCCATCGGAAAAAATCCCAATTTACACATGTTTTTAAAAAAAATTCTCAAAATACACACGTTATGAAAATAATTCCCAATCTACGTTAATTTGGGCCATCACCGCTGTCGACGAAGACAGTGATTGCATCACTGTTGTCGACGAAGACAGTGATTGCATCACCGCTGTCGACGAAGACAGTGATTGCATCACTGCAGTACACGGCCGCGGTGAAGGCCTGACCTGCGTCGAAACTTTAAACAAACGTAACTTTGTGCTCGGTTATCCGATCGTAGCGAAATTTTTTTTGATTCCGCATAATTTTTCGAGATCTTGCAAGCCGCAAATGGCCGTAGGCGGTTTGGTCCCGCCTTCGTCTCGAAAATATGTCGTTTGCTACCCCGAACGAGCCTTTTTTCGATTTCGTCAAACTTTGAATGACCATAACTTTGTGCTCCACAATCCGAAAATCATGAATTTTTTTTTAATTTCGCATAACTTTTTAAGGACTACAATATTTAGTACGAGAGAATTTTCAAAAAATGAATTATTTATGGATATAAGGGGTTTTGGGAATAACTTTACCTTCCTTTTCAGGAATCCAAGTACATTCCGAAAATATGTCTATGATAAAAATTGTAGTCCTTAAAAAGTTATGCAAAATAAAAAAAAAAAATTCATGATTTTTGGATTGTGGAGCACAAAGTTATGGTCGTTCAAAGTTTGACGAAATCGAAAAAAGGCTCGTTCGGGATAGCAAACGACATATTTTCGAGACAAAGGCAGGACCAAACCGCCTACGGCCATTTGCGGCTTGCAAGATCTCGAAAAATTATGCGGAATCAAAAAAAATTTCGCTACGATCGGATAACCGAGCACAAAGTTACGTTTGTTTAAAGTTTCGACGCAGGTCAGGCCTTCACCGCGGCCGTGTACTGCAGTGATGCAATCACTGTCTTCGTCGACAGCGGTGATGCAATCACTGTCTTCGTCGACAACAGTGATGCAATCACTGTCTTCGTCGACAGCGGTGATGGCCCAAACTAACGTAGATTGGGAATTATTTTCATAACGTGTGTATTTTGAGAATTTTTTTTAAAAACATGTGTAACTTGGGATTTTTTCCTACTCCATCTCCCCTCCTCAAATACATCAACAAGCTGCTGACTCGTGTACTAAAACCCAAAACAATAAAAACAGGGGGAAAAGCTCTTTCCATTTCCAATGTGTGTGTGAGTGTGAGTGTGACAAATGACCATTAACAATAAATGCATATATAATGATTTGATTCAACGTGATGCTGGTTCACAGGCCACTACACTACACATTACAAAGAGAGGGGAATATGCTCCTTACTTACTAGGGGTATTACTTGTGCTCTGTCTTTTGACTTATTTATCGTTACCGGATCAAATCGATATAATAACTAAATCTACTTTTGTATTGTTCCGAACTTCTCATTATAGGAAATGAAAAAAAAAACATATAAACAAGGAAGAGTGCATCGGGTAATCGGATGTCGAAGGAAACCTTTTCATTGACAATCTAGTTGGTGCGTTAAATGCTCGCTTACCTGAACACAATAGCCAAATTGGTGTATTGTAGTACATGACTAGTTGTCGTCTTGTTGAAAATTGTGTTATTGACTAGTTTGCACAAACAGAAAGCCCCCATTACAGTTGCTCTCAGTCTCACCTTCCAAAATCCAACATGAATCAGAAATCGATTTTGTTTGATGTGAACAAAACATTGATAAGAAAGATGTGGCTAACCCAAAATTTCGAGCCTCGGACCGGCAGATGCAATGAAGCAAGCTGAGGTTATATGAGCAATGGAGCCAATGCACAATACAATCTAACACATCCTACAACAAGTATCCTTTCACAAAGCACACAAGCCTTTTTTTTTTAACAAATCAATGAATTACATTGCTGAGTTTGTTCTTTTTGTCTCAGTTAAAGGACTGGACAACTGACGAAGTGGCGACAAGGCCAGAGAGCAGCCCAACCATGGCAGCACTGTTGTAAGTACTGGGTTCGGTCTGCATTGTGTTGTTTCTGTCGTCGACATACGAGTCGTTCTTGAATGGTCCGCCAACTAGCGCTCCCATGGCCACGTTCGGGTTGGGGTCCGTTGATGAGAGCCATTTCCAGCCGTCGCTGCAGCCTGTGGATGCATCAGCGGGGATCGAAGCTCCCCTGTGGTGCACGAATTGCGGGTACTTGTCCCCATACCCAACTAGATAGCTCAGCTTCATTGGGTTGTCGCCTAGAACGTAATCAGCCTAACAATAATGGAATGAAAAGCATGAGCATTAAGGAATTAGATCATTCCAATAACAAGAGTTCAATCCTACCAGTATTAAACAACATTAGCTCTTATGGTGGTGAAGGGCTCAATTCTCAATCTTATACCTCTCAATCATCTATAGAACTGCTGTTACCAAATTACATAAGAAGGACTGTGTTTGTGTTGGGCTATCTTTACCTGGGATCTAGCGAATTTCTTGAGGTCTGATGATTTGAATGTACTTCCACTGCAAGAAAACTGTCTTTTCCCTGATGTCAGCAAGTAGTCACTGTAAACAGATGCTAAGAATGCTGCAGCAACAGGTTGCTGCAGGGCATTCCAGTCGCTCACCCATACCAGACCACCTGCAAACATCACCCACCTTTAACATTAAGATCAACAGAACAAACATCTCGCGTAAATGGTAATACTAATTAGAACATTCATAATCATCGCTCCAATTGGCATTTTTCGACATAGTAGGCATATTTTCAATAGCATACTCTGACTAGATAAGGTTCCTCAATTTTGTCATCTTCAGGACGAACTATGTGAATTCACACAGGGCCGCCGGAGATCCTTGATTAGCATATATGCCAAACAAGTGATGACTAGATGATCCAAAAGGCCAGCTAAGCTGGAAATGTTTCAATGTGTTATACTTCCCACTCATATAGATGCCATATTATGCCACAAAAAAAAAAAAAAGACAAGAATACAAGCTTACCGTCTGTTCTGCTGGAAGTAGCTGTGGGAGAATCAGGAATAAGCCCACACATCACTGCCTCGGCCGTCTCCCTGTACTGTTGAAGCCCAGAGTTCGAGGTATCTTTCTCACCCAAGAATGTCAATCTCGCCAGCAAAACCTGCATCGAATTCCACGTATTTCCATCATTCAAGAAAAAAACAGAAGAAATTTAGCAGCAGTTCATCCTAGGGACATTTCACATTGCAACCATCAATACCTGGATTCCTGGCAGCTTATTGTCCCAACTGAACCAACTAGGGTTCCCAAAATCTGCAAAATCATTCCCATTCGATCCAGTCACGTACTGAAGGTAAGACCGATCCCCTGTGGCATGGTACAGCCATGAAGCAGCCCATAACAGCTCATCTCCATAGCCGGTGGAGTTGTAGTAAGTAGCAGATCCTGGTATGCTATCGCAATATGAACCTCTATACTTATCAGCAAAACTAAACAACTGCTTGGCATGCTTAAGCAATGTGGAAGAGTAGTCCGAATCTTTCTTCTTGAACACCAGAGATGCTGAGGCCAAAGCTGCTGCAGCCTCAGCTGCAACATCTGACCCGGGAGAACTCGCATTCACTTGAAAAACCGGTCTCTTCTCGGTCATATCCTCTGGCCTATCCCAACACTTGTGATCTGATACAGGATCACCCACCTAACCCAATAAAACCAACATTTCAGCTATTCTATTCACCAAATCAAATCCAAATCAAGCTGTACATGAACGAATCAGAATGAAACGAACCTGAACATAGAGCACATTATCTGAAGGGTGAGCATGGATGAGGAAATCAGTGATCCACTTGAGGGAATCTTGAGCAGTTCCAAGTTGATTCACTGCCTCCATCTGATCACCGTACTCCAAGATTGACCAAGAAAGAACAGTGGCAGTGAATGCCATGGGGAATCCGAACTTCATGTGGTCTCCAGCGTCGTACATTCCTTTCGATAAGTCGAGCTTCACAGTGCTGCCATCTTCTAGCGCTGAATCGCCCCTCCAAGTTATCTTGTCCTCGTTCAATTTCCCAGCTGAAAAGGAAACCCTCCCAGACTGAGCACTCCAAAATGGCAAAATCTACCAAAAATTCGCAGTTAGCAATGGTAAAGAAGTAAACACAGCTACCTTTCTGAACATCGAAGAACTGGACTGCGACATTGAGAGCGTCGGAGTACTTCTTCTGGATAGCTCCCGGAGGACCCGGAATCGAATCGCCGTCGTCGTCGGATTTGTTCATTTTGTGCCTCACTACTAAGAAGATCCCTACGCCGAGCAATGCCAATATCACTAACACCATCAACCACCCAACGAAGCCGCACCCGCCCTTTTTCCCCATCTTCCTAGATCTGGATCTAATGCAACCCAGGAAAGGAAAAATGGAACCACAATACTGAATGGGGGAGAAGCAGAATGGCGAGCGGACAAAAGGGTTCTCTCCAAAATGCAAATCCCGAAAACCCCAGGTTTTGAATTTTCCGGCGGCTCTCCAATTTTCCAGCTTTCTGCAGAGCCGGTGACCGTCCGGCGGATGCTGGAAGCTCTTATTAGTTTCGAACTCTCAATACAATGGTTAAGTATGAATCATGGAGTCAATGAGACCCCCGATTTAGGCAGCGGAAACCCTGATTTTGATGCGAAAAGTTGGATCTTTGGCAGCTCCGAACCCCGCAGGTTGCCTCCTGGATCGGAAATTCGAGAGGGTTCGGGTTTATGCCGAATCGCCGACACCTCCAGAAGACAGAAAAGAAGGGTGGGAAAGGAAGAGAAAGAAGGAAGGGAAAAATACGCGGGCTGGCTGATATCTGTTTCTTCCGTTGGCTTTTTGCGGTTTAATTCGAGGGTATTAAGATCCTGCCCCTTGTTCGCTTGCCGCGCGCCGTTGTGCGTGAGAGCTGGTAAGCATTTTCCAACCGTCGATTCGTTGAGGTTGATTGATCTCAGCCGTCCACCGGATCACCGACAACCATCTCCTTTGATTTGAATTGTTTTCCCATTTTTTTAAAGAGAATGTTATGAGGAGGTAACCATCCAACGACACACATCTACCATGGTCATGTTGCTAGCTATTTAAATTATAATAATATCATAGATTAAGAATTACGGGATTATTTATTGACGATTTAGTTATAAACTCGTGGAAAAACAATGATAAAAATCTTAAATATCATGTACACTTCATGTTACTCTTTAACTATGATTAAATCATTATTTTTGTCTTATTTAAGCTATAATCAAGATAATTGATACTAATGTATACCCTTTTCCTTATTTATTAATCAATAAAAAGAGGTTAATGTATCCCTATCCAAAGTAACATCTTAACTATAGGGGCAATGGTACTATCAAAATGGGTTTGACTATTAAACTAAATTGTAGTTGTTTGCTATTAAACTACATTACTAAATCTCCAAGTAATAACTCCATCAATTGGCGATGATATTGGATGGTGGTGAAAAGGATTCCAATTTCCAAGTATCAACTCTCAAGCAACCATTGATTTAGTGGGGGCACGTTGGTAGGTATGGATGAAAAAAACGAACAGTTGAGCTGTCAGTGTCAAAGTTGGGCCAAGGCCTTTGCTGATACCTGGTCCCAGTTTGAAGAGACTCTTAAGAAGGCCCAATCTTACTATCGTAGTGGACTTCGAATATTGGGCCTTTCAGTAACAAATTAAGAGCCTGTAAACAGAAGGATAAAAAAAAACCTGAAAAATAAATGGGGAGGAGGGCTTCCGGTTATTAGGTGAGATGAGTTATTGCGTCGGGATATTGCGTCGGGATATTGCGACAGTCGTTTGAGTTTATTGCCCTAAAGATACTTGGCAATGTCAGCTTAAGAGCTTGTTAAATTGACCACAAATGTAACGCTGCTTGTCATGCAATTAAGTAACAAAATGGCGCCAAAATCAGTTGAGCACATCAAATGTGTGTTACTCAATTTCGCAGAACTACAATAAGCAAAACAAGATTTCGATGTTACATATTTGGGATCTCGATTACAACTCGAATGAATAGGTTACAGTGGTTGTTTGGACAACAAGTAAATTATACACTCCCGTCATCTTTCTGGTTTGAATCGTTGTTTGTATTGAGGCGGTAGGTATTCAGCATTTCTTCCTCCAGTGGATGTGTTTTGCCTGTTATCACAAGGCAATGCAAAGGTAGCCCGAAATCGACCGAAAGAAGCTCCTTCATTGGCCCTGCCACTATCACCTGATCCTCGCTTCCCACCCGAGCAAACCCAACACAATCGGTATCTTCATCGTATGCTGCAGAACAAGTCGCATTTCAAAAGAAGTCAACTACAATGATTCATCCAGGATAAACATTTCGATCATAACATCAGTAGAATCAAGTAATCTCGCAGAAATGAACAATGAGTAGAATGAAGCTTTTCAGCTCATTGGAGTCTGGGGAGCCCCTTTCAGTATAAAGCAACATTCAACCACGTATGTAGAATTAAAGGATTTCTCTTTACGTACCAGATCCTCCGAGCTTTTGCACAACTTCCAGCAGTTGCTCTATTGCAGTGTTGATCGTCATGTACCTTGGTGGTTCATACTTCTTCTTCCCCCTGAAAAAAGCTAACAGAGAGAAATGAACTAAGAACAAGAGTACTTAGTAATGGAAAACACAATAGTTGCTTTCTTCGGATCCAAACCTCGACAAGGACTCCCACGAAGGCTCCTTCACTCGAATATCTACAGCAACAAACCCAAGCATAAGAATTTCTCATCACATTCTCAAACAAAAAGTTGCAGCAAGTTCCCATGGCTGAAGAGGATCAACCACAAACACATAATTCTCACCTAGCAAGCAGAGAGTATGCAGTCCAAGCTCCCTATTCTTCATTATCTTCTCGTAGAAGCTATCAGGCCTCCAAACATCAGTGAAGAACGGAATCGAAACAGTCTCGCCATATCGATAGAGCTGCAACCCGCAAATCCCAATCGCATTCATCACCGACGCATTGTGCACTACCTTAACCCCAATCCCTAATTCCCTAGCTCGAACCACTAGATCACTATGCGTCGTAGCTCTGCCAAATTGCCAAATCTTCACGAATCAGCTCATTCACCAATTCGAAAACAAAAGAAGCCCAAACTAAGACGAGAAGTTCTGCTACAATCTTACCCGAAGGGATCTCCGACGACGAGGAAGGCGACATCGGAGGCACGAGCGTCGGACAAAATCTCGTCCGCTTTCTCCTCCACCATCTCCCTGTCGGCGATCGTAATCGGCTTCCCGTATAGATTTTCCTGTCCCCGGAGAAGAAAATATGATCAAGACCGAGAATCGGAATCGGAATCCAAAGAAGAAGGGAACTTACCAGAGTAGCGATTCCGTCGTCGGAGAGGCCGAAGGAGAGCAGCGAAGTGTAAGCTTCCATGAACACTTTCTCACACTTCTTCACTGCTTCTAACCCTCTGAGAGTGATATCCTTCTCGTCGCCCAATCCCAATCCTATAACGTACAGCATCCTTCTTCTTCCTCGTCTTACAGGTTCCAGCTATGACTCCTCTGCTAAAACCCTAAAACGAAAACGGGGGAGATGAAACAGAGTCAAAACAATAGTCAAAGCCCTAATAAACACCCTGCGCCACCGACCCGAATACCGACCCGACCCGAGGTATACCCGACCCAGGTGAAAGATATTTTACTTTCACCTCTCTTCTTCTTTTTTCTTCTTCAATCGACCAGATCTATTTTCTATTCTCTTGTTAGCTGTTACCCTTTACTGCTCAGAATGGCCTCCTCGACTACTGGCGCCATGAAAGCACTCACCGTCGATTACCCTTCCATCATCGCTCGCCCAGTTACCACCATCCCGTACTTCAAGAAACCACTTGGTATCTCTCTCTTCTATACCCTCTTCTCACGATTCTCCGACACATTCGTCTTCCTCGTCGTCGCGCTACTCTCCTACACCGGTTTCGTCACCGCCGCACTTCTCACTCAGAGCTCTCCTGCTCCAACTGACGGAGTCTTCCTCCTGGGGTTTTTCACCGGCGTAGGCTACCCATTCCTCTTCCTCTACTTCAACAAGATACACCAGTGGAGGAAGACCAACCTCGCTAAACGGCTCTTCTTCAACCCTCCTGGTGTTTTGTCCAATTCCTTTGGGTCCATAATCTTTATGAGCTTAAACTGTGTCAAAATCTGGGCTGGTGTCTACAACTCTGCTTATGCACTGATTGCTTTGCTTGGTGTACTGGTGATTGTTTCCATGTACCTTGCTCTGAGACCCACTTATGGCTACCGTATCATTGATGGGTTATTGGCTGCGGTTGCTCTCTACGGATTTGTTGCGAGGAGGAATGATGATGACACCCATGGAGGTGATGGATCCATGGTCAACCCCTGTCTCATTGCTTTTGCTTCGTGGCTGATTACTATGTTCTACTACTACTTCGAAGCGAAAGCCAAGGAGGCCGAAAACCCTAACGGAGTTGCCAAATAGTCTTGTGGATAGCCCAAGTTGTCAAAGAGTCGTGTGGATGGCCGTGCAGTAGCCGATGGCGTTTTCTTGTTAGTTTCTGCTCGTTGTAGTGTTGTTTTCTTTAGGGTTTCAGTTAGTTGCCATGGCCGACTATTGTAATGAATGATGGTAAGCAAGCTTGTGAAATAGATCAACGTTTTTGTGTATTCTGTCCCGTCTTTTTACTCTACTTACTCCGTTCTTGTTGTTGCATCTGATTTTCTGGGTTGATAGTCTGGATATGAAAACACCACCAAATGAAAGATCGTTGTGTAGTATCAACAGTTGGATCTTCTCTTCCATATGTTCAGAGTTGGGACCAAATTTGTTATCTTTCTGGTCTGAATCGTTGCTTGTTTTAATTCAATAGATGTTCAGCACTTCTTCCTCCAAGATGTATTTTGCCTGTTGTCACAAGGCATTGCAAAGGAAAAGTTGCTTCACAGGTCCTGAAACTATCATCTGGTCCTCGCTTCCCACCAGAGCGAACCCAACTCAACCGGTATCTCCATCTTATGCAGCAAGAACAAGTCGCATTTCGAAACAAGTCAACTCTATATAATGATTCAATGAAGGAACCTCTAGACAAGCAAGTTTGCCCAAAGCTTTCTAACTGAACCTCTTCACAGGCAACTCTGAACCTCTTTTTTACTTCACTTACTCTGTTCTTCTTGTTCCCTCTGGTTTTCTACGTTGATTAGTATGGATGTGAAATCACCACCAAACCTGTTCTTAACTTGGAGCCAAGCTTAATAGAGATAATGTATCACTTTTTACAGTTGGGTCTCAACAAAAAGAGAGAAAATTGTACAGTATCAACAGTGTAACAAGAGTATAAGATTTGACAAAAAAAAAAAAGCTCTATAAAGAGTAGTTGGAGAGGCACATAGATGCAAGGTTACAAGTAGACTGGAAAGAATGACTGTTGGATCTTCTCTTCCATGTGTTCAGAGTTGGGACCAAAATGTACCCAAGTTCTTGGGATCGAACTAAAGTAATTCAGTCGTCGTCTTTGAATTCCCTGTCAGAAACACACAAAAAACCAAAGTTCCCCTCATTCATTCACTATGTATGATCTTTGATTGAAATTAAAATGAAGAAACCTAAGACTTTGCTTGCTGCACAAGATTCATGTATCATGATAGGCCGAGGGTACCTCCGATCGAGGTAACGCGGTTGAATCCCGGAGCCTTGACATGTGGTGCAAGTCAACGAACCAGCACTGTCACAGTTGATACATGGAGACACTTCTTTCTCGCCCCCTCCTAAGTCCACCGTCACCGAGCCAGTTCCCTCACAGAATCTGCATCTCTCTGGCCATAAAGTCAATTCCAATTCCCAGCAGTAAGGTAAAAGAGGAACCATGTTCAATCATTCGACGATAAACAGCTATGTTCTCTAGGCGACATGAATGTAGGTTCAGTTGCAAACTTGCAATGCTGCGTATGCGCTATAGCCCTTTTGCTTCACACTCAATGCAGTTGGAAACTTGAAAGGTCTTCATGGCAAAATGCACACAACAGAGCTATCAAACGAAGAAAGGGCATAGCAGAGAAGGGTTTTACTTACGGGCACCGGAGCCGCTACAGGGGAAGCAAGGCTGAGTGTTGTCCCTCTTTGACTGCAAGTTACCCCAAAATATCCCCAAAAATCAAATCGAAACCATAAACCAGAAAGTAGAAACTAATGCATCTTATAGATTCTAGTTACAGTTTAAATGAGATTAAGGATTGCTCACAGCATTATCGATTTGGGACTCGTAGAATGCTGGAATGCCAATCCCCACGGCCACGCTCACTAGCCCAACGGATATGGCTGTAATCTGAGAAAAATTCAACACCCCGGAAAATGTTCAATTCCATCACAATTGAGTGAGAAATTCAGAACCCAAATACGAGGAACAAAGGAAGGAAGGAGGAGACCGTGTTGGCGTCGAGATCAGCGGCTATAACGAGGGGATAAGGCGGCCGCCGGGGGGATTGAAGGGTGAAGCTCCTGGCGGACTTGGAAGGAGACGAACATGACGATTTGAGAGGGCAGCAGAGAAATGGGGATTGCAGGCGCGGAGCCGAAGCGGCTCCTAGGGGCATTTTGTCTTGGAGCTTTCTGGTTTATCAAGTGGCTATGGCGGCAAGGCAAGCAGAGTGAGCGGGGGGAAGAAGAAGGATTCTTTTGTTTTCTCGGGCTGGCACATCATCCAGACATCCATTGCTGTCCTTCTCCTTCCCTCCCATCCACAAAATCCACGTGGAAGGACAGACGGATGGAGATACTTATATTTGGACGAGGGCTAGAGTCCAATTAACTGCAAAGGCCCATGAGCCCATAATGGCCCATCATATGAGAATGGGCGCAGCCTGTCCCCGACGGGCTGAGAAATTCGACCGCAACCCATTGCAAATTCTTTGACAAAAAAAGACCTCACTCTGTGGCCAGTCGTTTAAGGACTTCGTGTGATTACCATTACCAACGAGAGGTTAAATTTTTTAATAAATTCTGGAAAAATAGACTAGTTGGTAAGGCTCTATCTCTCGTTTATAAGGATCATGATTTAAATTTCTTCATTAGTCCACTTGTTTAGATTTCTAACTCTGTCAATGAAATTCCAAAAATAAAAAAGATGGGTTTGTTGTAGACGAAGAAGTCGAGAAGAATGGTGTTGCTTGCTTAGGTGCAAATTCAAAACAAACTAGTAAGGCTAACTCCAATGAAGCCTCTATAAATGGGGGAGCCTCTATATTTGGGGGAAAGTTGGCTTCAATGGAGCCTCTATAAATGGAGGAGTCTCTATATTTGGGGGAGATCTCCAAAAGGATCACCAAATTTGGGGGTGGAAATGGGGGTTCCCCCAAATATAGAGACTCCCCAAAGCCCGCCACGTGGCGTTTCTTTTTCTTTTTAAGGGTTAATTGAGGTTTAATTAGGAGATTAGTTAGGGGTTTAATTAGATCAATAATTTTCAAGTGTTGTGTGTAAACCCAAATTAGGTCAATCATTTTTTGTCAACAAAAATTTGGTCTCAAAATTAAAAAGATTTCTATTGGAAAATTTGTATTTAAAAATGATGATGAACTATACAAAAATTAACATGAACAAATTATATTAAGTCTTCGATAAGTATATTTTTAAGTAAATGAAAAACTTAAAAAATGGAAATCTCCAAATATAGAGAATGTAGCATTGGGACAAAAGAAGGAAAAATGGAGATGCACCCCAAATTTGGGAATCAAGATCCCCAAATTTGGGGGGCTTGCAATGGAGTTGGTCTAAGAAGTAAGAACTAAGAAGAGAGAGATACATGGGTGGAGTGAAGTGAAGTGGAAAACAGAGCTAGCTAGGGTTGTTTTCTTGATAGTGACGCACCACCAAACCAAAATTATAATTACACAGGCACATGAAGAGAAGGAAAAAAAGTACTGGAGATGAATTGGCAAACACCCCAACTTCATTGTTGGAATGGGGTAACCTATGGACCAACCTTGGACAAACAACCACACCTTTTAAGCATCAAAAGCCTAAGGGCTCTCCTCATGATCAATGAAATGATACTGCAATTATGAAGAAGGATTCCGTACATAAGTTCCAATAGTAAGAACATTGGATACGCAATTTAGTGATTAGCGTATATGATCGATTGAGTTAGTCTGCTTACTAGTTGAATTTATTACAATATTACTGCGATTTGCATGATATTGATGTATTACCCAGTGATGTCAAAGCCGAACCGAGCCGGCCGGCCGGACCGCCAAAGCCGCCACCCGGCCGTAAAACCGGCTCGGATTAGCTATTTAACCGCCACGGTTTTATACAGCGGCCGGCGAGCGGCCGAAGCGGTTAACCGCTCGAGCCGCTCAAGCCGGTCGCGCGGTTCGGCCGTTTGGTTTAGGTTGATAGGTGGGGAGAGGAGGAAGGAGAGAGGGAGGGGGGATGGGGAAGCGGAAGGAAGGAGAGTGATGGGTGGGGAAGCGGCGCTGTCGCTTAGGATTAAGTTAGGGTTTTTTTTAGTTGTTGTATATATATGTTGTGTAGAATTATTAAATGGTACCTGTAATTATCATTTTTACTCATTAAATCATTGAGTTATTACTTTATGTGTGTTATACTATGATATTATATTGTTTATAAGGTACCGGTTCTCAAACGGTTTTTAAACGATCTAATACCGGCTGGACCACTAATGACCGAGCCGTTCACGTTACCGGGTCATACTCCGGCTCGGCTTTGACAGCATTGGTATTACCCGTAAATGAATTCCCTACGCATTATAAATTGAGATGGGCAAACGTGTTGGAATATGATGATGCAAAATCTGATGTTATATGCTCATAGCTAGGTATAGAAACACTCTTTTATTGAGTTGTTTCCCTGTCCATCAGCCTCATAGATATCAAATCCCTTTCTGTGTTTGGAGCAGTGGTTTTTTAGTCAATGGCTCTTTTCCATCTTTGGGGCACACATTTGCCTTTTATGTTCTGTTTCCTCTGGCCCTTCTGTTCTTTCTCTCTCTCTCTCTCTCCCGAGATAGCTTTGCTTGCAATTGACTCAAGGTAACAATTCGTGCCGTCTAGACTGGAGCACTTTCTTCTTCTATCCACTTGAGATGCAAACTTACCAAAGTAAGGCAGGCAGCCTTCGTTAATGTTTTCATTTGTTAATAGGAAAGGGAGTAAGGGTTGTCGTTACTATATTATTACTGGGGAATTAGCTGGTGAGGTAATGAATGAATTCCCTGAACTCATTTACCCCTAACCACGTGCCTTCCTGAACCGTTTGAAATTTGAAGGGAGGGAGGGAGGGAGCCATTTCCAGGGTTTCGACACACCGTGACCCTCACTAATCAATCAAGCGATATGAGGAGAGAATGGCCAAAATTGACAAGACAATTTACTGCATCATTGCAGTTGTGGGGTGTGACAACAATAGTTTGGTCCTATGATTTGATTTTTTTGGAAGAAATTTAATTTTAAAATTTAGGGTTATAGGTATAATATGCCCCTCTATTATGATGTTTTATCAAACATGCCCTTCTACTATTTTTTACATCAAACATTCCCCTGTAATTTGGAAAAATTATCAAACTTGCCCTTAAGTTGAAATTTCCATTGAGAAAATTGTCAATCATGGTTGAACCGAGATTTAGACGACCTGATATCGATAAATGGGAGGGGAAATGTCAGTTTTGACCCTTGTTTTATTTCTCTAGGTGTCGTCAAAGTGAAATTATTAGAATTATTTGGCTATACAGAAGAACAAAAAAAAAACTCTAAAGTGAAATTTTAGGGATATTTTAGATATTTTGGTCGCCCAAACCAAATTTCGGTCTTGGTTAACTGTTTTTGGATGTAAATTTTAACAAAATGGCATGTTTGATAAGTTTTCCAAAGTACAAGGGCATGTTTGATGTAAAAAACAGTAGAGTGGCATGTTTGATAAAACGTCATAGTAGAAGGGCATATTATACCTATAACCCTAAAACTTATATCATTTACTAGCATTGAAAGGCTTTTAGCCTCTCAATGCTTTTTTATGTGATTTGTGTTCCTCTTTAGAAGGGAGGTATGGCCATAATCGTCGGCATCGATGATGTTATTAAGATAATAAAAAATGCAGGTTAATTTGGAAATTATTGTAGATTGGAGGTGACAAGTGAATTGGATTCATGGATTGGTGGATCAATGGATCAAGTGGATTGGTGGATTCATGGATTGGTGGATTGATCCGTGAATTCAAATGATATCCAATCTTTGGACCAAAACCTAAAATTTGAAAATTTTAGGTACTAAATGTCACAATAAGAAAATTTAGATATCAAAACGTAATTTTTCAATGACAAGTTTCGTATAAAAAATAAATTGTAGGTACCACAATGTAAAATATAAAAAGTATGAGTATTAAATAGTAATTTGTCATTTGGTGATCAATCCATGAATCCACCAATTTAATTGGATTTGGATCAAATGAAATTGAATTTAAATGGATTGGATTAGTTGAATATTTAAGTAGATTGATTGAATTGAGAGAATTGCCTTAGATATCATAATTTGTGAATCCTCAATACCTTCTCTAATTATCAGCCATCAGCCTCATTTGGAAACTGATATGAATGTTTTGGTCTCTAAGCGTCCAGTTTGATTGTCGTCTCTTGGGGAGATAATGATAATTAGTTGATGACTAAGATTCCCTTTGCAGCCAATAGAAAATTAGAAATATATGATATGACGAACATTATCCGGTAACACAAAGAGGGTTTGGATCCAATAAAGAATTAGTAATGTTCGCCTGTCGGATGCGGCCATACGTTCCCCCCAATAGTTTTCTAGTCTTTCCAAAGTAGATTAGTATGGGGCTCTACCACACACTTAAAAAATCTATATTAATATTAGCATCTAGATTTAGAATTGCATACGTTCTACTAGGAATTACAAGGTAATGATTCATGAAGTAACATGACTCAATTGACGTGGATGTGATTCATATGGGTATTGGGTAGGATTCAAGTAGATTTAAATGTATTCTTATTAGCTTTAAATTTGGGTTACGATTGAAGTGGGTTTGATTTGCATGGAGCCAAATGGGTCTATTTGACTCCAAATATAAAAATATAGCCACCAAAATAATTCATTTTATTGGTATTAATGGTCAAAACTATTTTAATATGAAGGCGAATATAAACTACGGATAGTATCCAGTTTAAGCATAAATCCGAGACTTAGAATTGCAAACTAATAATCCAATTAAACAGTTTCATTTATTGTGTACTAAACTTCATTTGAGTAACCATGCATTTTTCTGTCTAGCGTCCAATTTCATGAGTCTAATTTGGACCCAAATCACAAGAATGAGTATGGATTGTAAACCACTTCATTAAAAAAAAAAGAGTATGGATTGTAACCAAAACTTGATTTTATAAAGTAAATTCGGTTTGGATAATACCCAAATATTGAGTTTTATTTGCCATCCTAAATTCTACCTTTTTTATATCCGTAAAAAAAAGTTGATGGAACTGGATTGTGTGCCTTTGGATCATTGACCTGACATTACTCATTATTGGTTATCTTTTCGTCATACTTTCGATAGTCATGTAGACTTGTACACTTTTTTTTTGGTAGTAACCTTACGCACTTTTTCATTAGAAATCTTGCTCACGTTTGTGAACTTGATTTTGATTGCTCTTTCTGTAGATTTACAAGAGAAGATTCTTATTGATGTTTGTTAAGTCACTC